AATCCTGGAAAGGCTCATCAGGACCCTGGGCAATGGAGGTCAGATTAAGGGATGCCTCATCCTTTGAAGGAAGTTCTCTCCAAACCCTTGTGGCAGCTATTTTAATTTGTTCATATACTTGCAATTCAAAAGTAAGTTGATTATTTCTGGCAGCAAAGGCACCTTCTCTGGTTAACATGTCTTTTGTAATGGCTACATTGTGAGCAGTGTTGTGAGCAGCCTGGTCCTCACACAATTCAAAAAACTTCCTTTCCACAATAAATAATTCCCCATACTTAAACGTGCTTTAGCTGTTCCTTTCCAATTATTTGGGGCCATAACCTGTCCTAGGAGCTTTATCCCAAGGTAAAAGGGGCCATGGGGCCATAGGTAGTGGTAGCTTGTTTTAAATCTTTTAGGGTCCTAAAGGGTACAGCGTCATGAAGACATATAATTTGTCTCAGATTATGGAGGAGTTGGAGTTCAGTAACAGGGTAGATATACTGAAAACCCTCCGTGGAGCCCCCTGCCATCTGACTTCTTTTAGTGCTAGTTGTAAGGGAAAGAGAGAGATAGAGATAGATAGATAGATAGATAGATAGATAGAGAGAGAGAGAGAGAGAGAGAGAGAGAGAGAACTGCTCTACTCCCTGAGAGACCCAAGTTTCAACCTGTGACACAGCAAAATTTCTCTGAACTGAAAAGGCAGAAGTTGCTGCTGGTGGCTCATTTAAAGTTATCCATTTTGCCTATAATGGCTGTGAAACTGAAGCTGCATCAAAGTACTCCTCTAGTGGAGAAGGAGCTTTTTTATCCCCCATAGTGCCTGCCTTGTCTGATTGAGCAAGGCTAGAGAGTTTAAGGTCTATAGGGGGGCTGTTGCTCCACCATCTTTTTTCTGCTTGGGATTTAATTTTAAAATAGTGCTCCAAGCCAAATCCTCCGTGGTTGGCTCAACAAGCCTAGGACTATTAAGACACTCCCTAATCCAAGTCCACAAAAATAAAGTAAATATAGAAATCAATAATAGAATGAACATTTGTGTATACATCTGCTGTTCTTGAAAACCTACTTGCCCCATGTTTTACACCTGATGATATCAGTATCAATACACCTTTCTCCCCAGGCTTCTTTTGAACCTGTTCTTATTCTTGCGTGCTCTCTCAGAGGTATCCCCTCAGCTGCTATTTCTTTGTACCCTGAGTCCATGTTCAGGTGCCAGTACTCTGCATCCAGCACAGCTGTCAAAATTCTAGGGGTGAAGGGCAACGGAGGGTGAAGAAATAAAGAGAAGAGTCAGAAAACAAAAAGCTGGAGCTGGAGTGTCAGGTGGAGCCTCCTTTCCTAATGGGAGAAAAGAATTGCTCGACTACTGCAGCGTGTTTATACAATCGGCCAGTTGATGTCATGTGACACCGCTCTGCCTAGCACCCTGTTTGCTTGGATTGCTTTTGGTGCCTGGTAGTCTCTGAACTGGAGAAACTTGTTCACGTGGCTCACCTTGGGTGCTCTGCACGTATGATCAATTTCCAGCTTCAGCTGCTCCCCACAATTTCTTTCTCTAGTCTGATTGCTCTGGCTAATGTTTCCAGAACTATATTGAACAGAAGTGGATAGTGGACATCCTTGTCTTGTTCCTGATTTTATAGAGAAAGCTTTCAGTTTTTGTCCATTTAGTATGATGTTGGCTGTTGGTCTGTCATAGATGGCTTTTATCACAAAATCTGAAGCCAAGGATGTAGGTAAGCGGCACAAGTGCCTGCCTGGCAAGTGCAATGTTCTGAGCTCAGTTTTTGCTACCAAGAAAAGAAAGTCAAATATCACAATATCTGATCTTGTAACCATTCACATTTTTAAAAGGCACATAACCCATGCTTTTCAATAATGTGAAATGTTATTTAGGTGGTAAACTAAAGGAATGAGTCCATTTAGCTCAGTAAGAACAGTAGCTATCACTTCTTTTACCTACATGCACCTTTATCCTGTCTTTGTAATGTTATCTAACTTCTTCCCCATTTGAAGACAAGACATAAGAATCATAGGCACAGGGCTGGGGAGTGCAGCTTAGTGGAGGGTGTGCTTAAAATGCACTGAAATTTCTAGTACTTAAAGAATAAAAAATCAAAGATGACTTAAGTGGAGTTCATCCTATAGACATCCTTAACAGGCACAGAGACATAGCTGCTCACACAAAGATATTCCTCCTGCGTCGTTTCTAAAAGCAGCAGTCCTGGGAAGGGAGTCAGTCAGTGCTCGATGTGCCAGATGACGGAGGGCAGCACAGTCAGCAGGAGCGAGGTGTTGGTCATGATTCTAGGCATTTCCAAGTTGAGTCAAAAAGACACCTGCCACAGATTGTGTGGCAGAAGATAACCCCCCAGTATGCTAAGCCATGTGCATCGGAAAGGATCTGCTAAGATTTACCCCCACCTGTATCAGTGAGCTGTTGCCAAGGGGTGGAATTCCAGGTGGTTTTCTTTTTTAAAGTCTTCTTTCTTATCTGCATCTTGCTTTTTCTGCAGTGAATACATATCACCTGTGTACATGAGAATGTGTTTGAGCACTGTTGCAATCTCTACAGCATAGGGTTAGAAATAGTTGTTAAATGACTGTCAGGACACAGGAAATCAGTGAAGATGGTGAGAAAGTCAGAAGCCAGCAGCCTTGGAAGGAACTTGTCCTTCTTCAGGGTTGAGTGAGCGATGGAGATCTGTCAGGATGCATCACAGGCTCCCTGCTACTGGTGAGAAAGGGGCTAGTTTCCTCCACAGGAGGAAGTTTAGGTAGCAGGCAGCTCTTAGAGAAAAATGTGGATCCTTATTTTTAAGAAAAGAAATGCTAATACAACTTGTATCAAGATACTGTTCTGTACCTAATGTTATGAACATTTTTTGCAAGCCTAATAGTTGCTGGCAGGAGTGGGGTACCGCTTATGTGTTACTGGTGTCTTCTAAGAACTGGAGTCTTCTAGAAACCAGTTTGACTTGGACACAGCTTGGCAGGAACCTTGAAAGCACTCAGAACTCCTGGTCCAGTTCCCCTCCTGAAAAGCTCCTGTCCCAACCAAAGCACCGGCTTCAGTGGCACTTTGTGTAACAGCACCAAGTGCCCATTCTCCTCTGCTGTGCCTGCTGACCTCACCCACTGGGACATCCAGAGGGCAAAGCAAAAAAAAGCTTGTTGGAAAATATGAAGTGCCGTCACAGATGTGCCTGGGACCTGCCAGCCATGTATCAGTGCCGCCCTGAATGCAAAGCCATCTGTGCAGGGCAGGCTGGGCGGGGAGCCCTGTCTGTGGAATGCAGGCCGTGCCTCCCACATGGGCTACAAAGCCTCACAGGCTTCCGTGATGAAGACTGTCCCTGGTCCCTATGCTTTTGGTTGCTCTTGAGCCCAGGCCTCATCTCTGGGGGCCCAGCCTGGAAATACCAACAGAAGCCACATACTGTGTGGCCAAGTATTTAAAAGTTATAAATGAAGCCAACAGACCATAAATAACATGTGTTCTTTCCTCCTGCCCTGACTTTTATAATGGCCTGAAAGCCTGGCTCAAATTCTGAATCCTCAGGCCCCTCTGAACTGCAGCTGAGACAGAGAATGTGGATGGAGCTGCTGTCACCCACTCCAGCTCCACCTGTCACGAGGGAGCCCTGTGTACACACACAGTGCTGTCCACACAGGGAGGTCCATGGGAGCTGCCAAGGCACGGGACCCCTTGCCCCCCAGGGCCCCAGGGCCACCCTTCTATTCCAGGACCAGGCCTGGTAGTGGCTGCCCCACTGCCCTCTGCCCTGTCTGGATCTGAGCCATGTTTTCTCACCTGGTCCCGTTCAGGACTCCTGGGCCCCAAGAGAGAACCCCCTTCACCCTCGCATGCACACTCGGGCACCAGAGACCTCACTCTGCTTGGGGAGGGCCTGCTGATTATCTGTGGCTAAAATCACTTTGCCATTCCTCGGGCACCATCTCACCACCTCTCATTTATCACGATTCTGTGGGAGACATCATAGTCTTGAATTCTGACATCTTAATCTCTAACTGGGATTTTCACGTTTACCTTCCCATGTCTTGTCTTTCCTTTCTGGAAAGTCAAACTGCCACCCCCACCTGCTTCAGAAGGAATCTTCACGTTTACTTTTTTCTTACATTTTAGCAATAAATAAGGAACAGCGTGTGAGGGTTCATTTTCCATCTGCACAGTGATTTTTTTTTTTTTTTTTTTTTTTTTTTTTTTTTTTTCCAGTACCGGGAATCGAACTCACGACCTTGCACTTGCCAGGCAGGTGCTGTGCCACTGAGCTAAATCTCCAGCCCCTCTGCACAGTGACTTAAGTCACTCAGCTCTGAGGGCTGCCCCTCTTGAGATGTGTCTGGCATTCTTGGGGTGGAGGTCGGCCTTGTGTGTTCACGTTATTATCCTTCCTCTGCTGTCCTTAGTCAAGTTAGGCCAGGGACAAGTTTATTTGCACCTTAGCACTTGTTCCTCAGTTATGCTTGAAGGAGTTTTATTTCCCATGAGGGTAAAGCTGTGTCCCCTCACCTGTGGGGCCTGGATCCTCTCTTTGTCCACAAGCGCGCCCGACATGCTGGCTCTGGCTCAGCCCTGCTCAGCCCTGCTCAGCCCTGGTGACGGCTGTCACCCCGGGAGTGAGGGAAGCGGAGGTGGCACAAGGCGGGAGGGATGGGACAGGGCAGAAGGGAGACTGCGCCTGAGGAGCCACATTCAGTACAGAAGAGTGTTTCCCAGGCACCAGATCCAAATCCTGGGCCTCACACACACCAGGCAAGTGCCCCAGCATTGAGTTACATTACCAGCCCAAGAATCATTATAATTTTTGGCCTGGTATCGTTATAATTTTTCTTTTAGAAGTAAAAGAATGAAAACGTATTAAGAAACGGACAACCATTTACGAAGTAGCACAAGAGTAGTACAAGCAATACTGAATTACAGACAAGGTGACATTATAATTTTTCTGTGAAACTGAGAGCCTATTTGTTTTTGTTTTTGCCTTTCTCCTTAGGCTAAATGTTTAGAGAGTGAGAAAAATGGAGCCCTCAACAAGATCCTAAAAGGCAATATTCGCTTGGGAAAGTTAGAGGAGAAAGTCAAGGTAAGGAGTACTTTAGCCTCAGAGAGCCATTTTCCCATGTGAAAGGGGGTATTACAACTGTAGATTTTCTGTGTTTTAAAAAATGACCTTGGTAGTGGGGTTATTTTTTAAAATTAACTTTATTGGTAGATTTTAGATATACATAATGATAATATTCATTCTAGGGAATTTGTACCTGTACATGATACGGGAATGGGGTTATGAGACAGGGTCTTGCTATGTGAAGTTCAGGCTGACCTTGAACTCACTATGTAGCCCAGACTGGCCTTGAACTTGCAGGATCCTCCTGCCTCAGCCTCCCCAGTGCTGAGATTACAGGAATGCACCACCATACTGCATCAAGAAAATGACATTTTTGCACACGTGTGTCACTAATCATCCACAGAGTAAAGCAGTAGAAAGTCTTGCTGTCAGAAATAGCACCTCTTAAGTCAGTGTTGGTGAACCTATGGCATGTGTGCTGCAGCGGGCATGCAGAAGAGCTTTCTGTGTCAGTATGAGAGCCAAGTCACCCAGCAACTTCGGATCAGGCATTCAGGTCGAATTGCACTGTTGGCACTTTGCAATAAATAAGTGGGTTTTGGTTGCAGTTTGGGCACTCGTCTCTAAAATGTTCATCATCACTGTCTTAACTCATCAGATAAATTTTGGTTCTTCTATACAACAAAATGTCATACAGGAGTTTTGTTTTTATAGTAAAAAAAAGGTATGGAAATTCTCCAGGTTGTATTGTTATGTGACTGTCCAGCTCTGTCATCAAGGGCAACATTTGCTGGTCTCGGGAACGAGCAGCATTGGCCTCCTGCCTTCTTGCCTTCACCCTGACCGCTCCCTCCAGTTTCTCTGCCCAGAGCAAATGTTGTGGCGCCTGCCCTGGCCCTTCCCTAACCAGATCCCCCTCCTGCCCGTAGGCTGTGTCCTGGCTGCTGGTCCCCAGCCTGCAGCCACAGCCTCAGCAGACAGCCTGGCTCCTACTGGGCAGGCCAGGGGAGCACCAGCAGGGGAAGATCAAGGGAGAGGCTGAGGCAGGAGAATCGCGTGTTACTGATATAGCAAGACCCTATCTCAGAATTTAAAAAGGCTAGGGATGTAGCTCAGCGCAAAGGTTCAACTGTTAGTATTGCAAAAGATAGACACACAAACAAAACCAATAATAATAATAGGGAGGGAGGCCTTCATAGCACTAAAAATTAGAAATAATATGTAGTAGTTGTATCTGTATATTAAATAATACAGTAGCAAACTTAAAAAGTATAAACTATAGGAAACACAAAGGAAAAATGAAAACATAACAATAAAACATGGAGGATAATAAAATGTGATAATAAAAGCTTTAATTAATTTTTCATGTTCTGCTGGGTGTGGTGGCACACACCTGTAATCCCAGCACTCGGGAGGCTGAGGCAGGAGGATTGTTGCAAGTTCAAGACCAGCCTGAGCTATAAGTAAAGATATAGAAGTTATGATAACATAATGAATAGGATATGTTTGTGTATATGTAAATAATAAAAACACAAATTGTTCACATTGGCTATAAAGAATACTCCAGTAAATCCCTAAAGTAGAAATACTGTACAAGTTTGTTGATTACAAATGTGAAAACTAAAAATTAATAAACAAAATCAGAAGGCAAAAAGGTTCTTTCATAGCCAGGTGTGGTGGTGCACGCTTGTAATCCTAGCACTCTGGGAGGCTAAGGCAGGAGGATTGAAAGTCTGAGCCCAGTCTGAGCAACTTAGTGATGTTACCGAGACCCTGTCTCAAACTAAAAAATGAAGAAGAGGCTGAGGATATAGCTCAGTGGGAGGCCCTGGCTTTAATCCCCAGTACTCCAAAAAAAATTTTTTAATTAAAAAAATAAATAATAAAGTTCATTTCACTTAGAAATGTAAAATATGCATTC